AGAACCACAGACGTCCGACTGAAAATTAGAATGGTGTAAATTGATGCTATCAGTGTCTCTGATACACATAAAAAATTTAGAAAACCTCTTCACAATCCCTTTAACATATAAAAGATATTGAAAATGTTGTCTCACCGGTATGACCAGGTACCTTCCAGGATCTCGCGCCATTTTAGCAAATTCTTCCTGCAGTTCTTTAAAAGATGGGCGACTTTCAGCATCCAACATCCAACCTAAGAGAAAAAAAAAATTTCAAAGAATATCGTCGAATTTAATTTACGTCTAAATAATTAAGAAAGATAATTTTTTACTTAAGGTGTGGTCAAAGATTTTCGTCGCTGATTAGAGTAATGAGTAAAATCTGCTTCCATGACAAGATTATCGCCGATATCCAAACAAGAAGACGTTTTTCCATGTCAGCTCCTCTTACCTTATCACTGACAGGAGGAAACCGGGTTGAAAAATCTGAAGGTATTATCTTGACCTATGCAGGATTGAATCCTCGACCTTCAGGTTAGCGAGCAAGCGTCTAACTCACTGACAGGGGGAAACCAGGTTGAAAAATTTGAAGGTATTATCTCGACCTATGCAGGGATTGATCCCTGGACCTTCAGGTTAGTGAGCAAGCGTCTAACTCACTGACAGGGGGAAACCAGGTTGAAAAATCCAAAGGTATTATCTCAATCTATTCCGTCCAATGACAGGGGGAAACTGGGTTAAAAATCCAAAGGTATCATCTCAACTTATGCCTCCATTTGGACGGACGGACGAACGTCAATTTTCCAAAAAGCGTAAAAAAGTACTTACATTTGATCATAATCATATAGACATCTATTGTACAACAATGAGGTTGTGGTAGACGCTCGCCTTTCTCCAGTAAATCGGGTACGTCTCGGGCTCGTATACTATCATACGGTTTTAAACCATACGTCATCAATTCCCAGACAGTCACACCATAGCTCCATACGTCACTTTTATGCGTGAATATTCTGTGTTGGATACATTCTAATGCTAACCATTTTATTGGCATCTAGGAATAGAAAAAGAATCATTTTAGAGTGTTCACATTCAGACATTTTCAAGCATTTATGTGTAAATATTCTATGCCGGATTCCATCTAATGCTAACAACATGTTTCAGGTTCTGTTTTAGTTGTCTGAAGATCAGACAGTGTGAAACTTTGAGTAACAACATGTTTCAGGTTCTGTTTTAGTTGTCTGAAGATCGCATAGTGTGAAACTCTGAGTAACAACATGTTTCAGGTTCTGTTTTAGTTGTCTGAAGATCACACAGTGTGAAACTTTGAGTAACAACATGTTTCAGGTTCTGTTTTAGTTGTCTGAAGATCACATAGTGTGAAACTCTGAGTAGCAACATGTTTCAGGTTCTGTTTTAATATCAATATATTGTTAGAAGAGATAAAATTCAAACCAACCTTGCCACCAGCAGCTTGATAAACTTCTTCATCATAATCTAATAATTTGGCCAGTCCAAAATCTGTGATCTTAACTTGTTGGGTATTCTGAGTGTTATGTACTGAAAAAATTAAAAATGAAGTTGAATTCACCTGAACAATGAAGATAAGGAACACCATGCAGTGTGCAAAGAGGGAAATTTTGCCAGAACAGCAGTACAAGACTATTATCTTTTTCGATTTCCAACCGTCAAGGGATCTTTAATGTGCACCTGATTTGGATAATGAATACAGGCAATGCTAAGCAGTGTGCAAGGAGGGAAATTTTGCCAGGACAGCGACATTAGCCTACTCTTTTTCAACTTCCAACTGTCGAGAGATCTTA